TGTAGAAGTTGCAAAGGATCCTAGGCCACATGCCAAACCTCCTCAGGTTTACTTACTTACTGAAAGTATATGAAAACTTTCGGCTTTTCCCGTTTAGGGGTTGCCACAGCGAATCGTCACACTGACAACTCGCATGCTGACATTTGGCATGTGTTGTACGTTGGATGCCCTACCTGACGCAACCCTGATTCAAACCCGGGCCGCAGCGGTGAGAGCGCTGCGCCTTAATCACTAGCCTACCAGGGATGGCTACTCAAAGTATATGAAAACAAATGTTAGAAATACCCAGAACTGCTTGGTTGTTGTAGTATTTGAAGAGAAAAACACAGAGCGCCATATAGTCACTGTGTATTTTGTTTTGTGACCTTATGGACAAATGCATTTCTGCATTTGGATTCACGCTGCTTGGTTGAAAGAGGACTGGGCCTTGTAAACAGCAGTCACATGTACAGTCATGTGAAAAAATTAGGACACCCTTTGAAAGCATGTGTATTTTGTAACATGTTTTAATATATGGTTATTTAATTTCAATTTTAACAATACAGAGAGATTAAAGTAATACAACTAAACAAGTAAAACTGAAGAAAAGTCTTTTCAAGATCTTCTGTAAATGTAATTCTACAAAAATGCCTATTCTAACTGAGGAAAAAGATAGCACACCCTCACATGTATGCCCTCTTAAAATGGCTCAAATCACCCACAGGTATATCACACCAGGTGCACATAAGTAGTAGATCGTCTCTCAGCATTTTGAATGAGGCTTGCCCTATCTAAACCTCAGACATTTAGTTTGGTGTGCTCCTGACTGTTGAAGTGAGAGTGAGCACCATGGTGATAGTGAAAGAGCTGTCAGAGGCCTTCAGAAAAAAACATTGTAGCAGCTTATGAGTCTGGTAAGGGATTTAAAAAGATCTCAAAAAGATTTTGAAATCAGCCATTCCACTGTCCGGAAGATAGTCTACAAATGGAGGGCTTTCAAAACAACTGCCAACATGCCAAGGTCTGGTCGCCCCAGCAAGTTCACACCAAGAGCAGACCGCAAGATGCTAAAAGAGGTCTCCAAAAACCCTAAAATGTCATCTCGAGACCTACAGCAGGCTCTGGCTACTGTTGATGTAGAAGTGCATGCCTCTACAATCAGAAAGAGACTGCACAAGTTTAACTCGCATGGGAGGCGTGCAAGGAGGAAACCTTTGCTCTCTAAGAGAAACATCAAGGCCAGACTGACATTTGCCAGAGAGAATGTTGACAAAGACCAGGACTTCTGGAATAATGTTCGTTGGACAGATGAGTCCAAAATTGAATTATTTGGACACCAGAGCAGAGGACATGTTTGGCGTAAACCAAACACAGCATTCCAGGAAAAGAACCTCATACCAACTGTGAAGCATGGAGGTGGAAGTGTCATGGTTTGGGGCTGCTTTGCTGCAGCAGGACCTGGTCAGCTCACCATCATAGAATCCACCATGAATTCTACTGTGTATCAGAAGGTGCTTGAAGAACATGTGAGACCATCGGTTAGAAAATTAAAGCTGAAGCGGAACTGGACCATGCAACATGACAATGACCCAAAACATACTAGTAAATCAACCAAAGACTGGCTGAAAAAGAAGAAATGGAGAGTCCTGGAATGGCAGAGTCAAAGTCCAGACCTGAATCCCATTGAGATGCTGTGGGGTGACTTGAAAAGGGCTGTACATGCAAGAAACCCCTCAAACATCTCACAGCTGAAACAATTCTGCATTGAGGAGTGGGATAAAATTCCCTCAGACCGATGTCAGAGACTATTAGATGGCTACAAGAACCGTCTCACTGCAGTTATTTCAGCCAAAGGAGGTAACACTAGCTATTAGGGGCTAGGGTGTGCTAACTTTTTCCTCAGTTGGAATAGGCATTTTTGTAGAATTACATTTACAGAAGATCTTGAAAAGACTTTTCTTCAGTTTTACTTGTTTAGTTGTATTACTTTAATCTCTCTGTATTGTTAAAATTGAGATTAAATAACCATATATTAAAACATGTTACAAAATACACATGCTTTCAAAGGGTGTCCGAATTTTTTCACATGACTGTACGCACAAGTAGCATGTTTACTAGGTCGTGTAAGCTGTCATCCTGCCAGGGCAGAGACATTTGGCTATAGGGGAGGCGACAGTGGTGCAGTGGGTAGAGCAGTCGTCTTCCAACCAGAATGTTGCAGGTTCGAATCTCAGTGCCTGCAGTCCACGTGTCGAAGTATCCTTGGGCAAGACACTGAAACCCCCCCGTTGCCCCTAATGGTTAGAGCCATCGGTTGAGGTGGCGCCGCAGATGGCTGCCATCAGCTCTGTGCCGGAAACAAATTTCTTGTGTGTAAAATACTTGGCCAATAAAGATGATTATCCTTATCCTACAGACGTAGTTCAAATTAAATCTGGTTTCGCTTTAGCTGAACATGATAGATTCACCTGAGAGCTTTTTGACCCTTTCTACTTCATTTGGTGTTTGTTGCATGTGAAGAAATCCTGAGTGCACATATAGGAGATAGTGCTGCCGCTAACATTTTTATGATTAATCTGCCAGTTATTTTCTGGATTGTTTAATCTGTAAAATGTCCAGGCCAGATGATGTGTTGGACGGTGTCACAACAGCTGCCTGAAAACAGCATTTTCAGGCAAACGATACTTCTGTGTGTTAATTAATAAACAAAATAGTTGTTTTTTGTGCTGATTGATTATTCAACTGATTATTGCAGCTTCACTAAGAGAGCGTACCATTGTTTTCCAGTTCAGATATTAAAGAAGTAAGTTCCATGTGTGTTGTTCTTCTGGTCAGATTACACTAAAACCATCAGATCTGTGGCCTTCATATGATGCAGGCCAGTTATGATAAAATGACCTTAAAGTGAGTTTTTTCTTATTTATGTTTAATAGCAACAAACTAATCTGTGCAACACAACGAGAGGAAACAGAACTCTGGGAAATGGTAGTGACAACAAAGGCTAAATCGAGACATTTCCTGTCACTCCCTAAACTGTCCTCTTCCAACCTCCACTGTTTATGGAGCTGCAGATTTAAGATTAAGGAATTATTTGCCATTTATACACTGTATTTGTGTGTGTAGAGAATGTGTGTATGCATGTCGCTTCTCGCTCAGAAGCACCATCTACAGGTATGTGCCAAAAAATTAGAATATCGAGGGAAAGTCCATTTATTTCAATAATTTGTTTCAAAAAGTGAAACTTGTATGTTATATTAGTTCACTACACACAAAGTGAAATATTTCAAGCCTTTATTTGTTTCAATTTTGATGATTATGGATTAAAGACAAAAAAAACCCCCAAATCCAGTATTTCACAAAATTAGAATATTTCATGTGACCAATAAAAAAAGGATCTTAAACACATGTTGGCCTTCTGAAAAGTGTGTTAATGTACTGTATTATGTCCTCAGTACTTTGTTGGGCCTCCTTTTGCATTAATTACTGCATCAAGGCGGCGTGGCATGGAGGCGATCAGCCTTTGACACAGTTGAGGTGTTATGGTAGCCCAAGTTGCTTTGATATTGGCCTTCAGCTTGTCTGCATTTCGGGGTCTGTGTTCCCTCATCTTCCTCTTGACAATACCCCATAGATTTTCAGTGGGGTTTAAGTCAGGTGAGTTTGCCGGCCAATCAAGTACAGTTATTCCATAGCTATTAAACCAGTGTGGATGTCTGATCACACCTCCCTGCTGGAATGTGATCTACACCGGGGGTCTGTGTGTATGTGTGATGTTAATTTGTATGTTAAACTGGCCAAGTGGTCATCTCAGGATGTCGAGCCCTCGGTCTCTGCAGGACATCCCAAGACAAAGCAGAACTTGCAATATGTTAAGTGGGTCTGTGTGTGAATGCAAAACAAGCCAACTTGTCTTTGTTAAAATGTGAATGGGCTGTCTGGT